GAGAAAAAAAACAATCAAAAATGCAAGAAACGGAGGAAAATACAAAGCAAAAATTACAAGAAACAACTCAAACAGTGCAAGGGTTGAAAGCTGAAATAGAGACAAAAAAAAACGGTCTGGAAATAGAAAAGCTGGGGAAATGGTCAGGTACTACAGATGCAAGCATAACCAACACAATACAAAAGATGGAAGAGAGAATCTCAGGCATTGAAGATACACTAGAAGAAATCTATTCATCAATCAAAAAAAATCTTAAGTCCAACAAATCCCTAACACATATTATCCAGGAAATATGGCACACCATGAAAAGACCAAACCTAAGAATAATAGGTATAGAAGAAGGTGAAGAAACCCACCTAAAAGGGGCAGAAAACATATTCAACAAAATCATAGAAGAAAACTTTCCCAACTTAAAGAAAGACATGCCAATGGAAGTACAAGAAGCTTACAGAACACCAAATAGAGTGGACCACAAAAAAGGCCCCTAGCCACATAATAATTAAGAGCCCAAACGTACAGAATAAAGAAAGAACATTAAGAGCAGCTAAGGAAAAAGGTCAAGTAACATATAAAGGCAAACTTATCAGAATTACACCTGACTTCTCCATGGAAACTCTGAAAGTCAGAAGGTCCTGGATAGATATTCTACCAACACTAAGAGACCACGGATGCCAACCAAACTTTTATACCAAGCAAAACTTTCAATCACTATATAGAGAGAAAACAAGATATTTCATGACAAAACCAGCTTTAAACAATACATATACACTAACCCAGCCCTACAGAAAGTTCTGGAAGGAAAACTCCAACCCAAGGAAGTTAACTACAACCAGAAAAACATAGGCAATAGATGATCCTACTTTACCAACAGTCAAAAGAAAAAAAAAGAGTGTGGAAATACGCACAAAATTCCAACACCACCACCAATTCCAAAACAAACAATAATGAGCAATCAATGGTAATTACTATCCCTCAATATTAATGGTCTTAACTCACCCATAAAAAGACACAGTCTAGCAGAATGAATTCAAAGACAGAATCCACTCTTCTGCTGCATACAAGAAACACAGCTCAGCTTCATAGAAAGACATTACCTCAGAGTTAAGGGTTGGGAAAAGATTTTCCAATCAAATGGACCCAAGAAACAAGAGGGAGTAGAAATCCTAATATCTAACAAATTAGACTTTAAACTAAAATCAATCAAAAGAGATGAAGAAGGTCATCTCATACCCATCACAGGAGAAATTCACCAAGATGAAGTCTCAATTCTGAACATCTATGCCCCAAATACAAAGGCATCCACATTCGTAAAAGAAACATTACTAAAACTCAAAACACACATAAAACCTTACACACTTATAGTGGGAAACTTCAACACCCCACTCTCACCACTAGACAGGACTACCAGACAGAAACTTAACAAAGAAACAAAGGAGCTAATAGAAATTATGACCCACTTGTGTTTAACAGACATCTATAGAATATTCCATCTAAACACAAAAGAATATACCTTCTTCTTAGGGCCACATAGAACCTTCTCAAAAATTAGCAGACTTCAACAGGTAAAAAAAAATTGGAATAACTCCATGTATTTTATCAGATCACCATGCTTTAAAGTTAGAATTCCATAGCAACACAAATTGCAGAAAACCTATAGACTCATTCAAATTGAATAATGTATAATTGTACCATTCCTGGGTCATGGAAGAAATTAAAAAAATTAAAGAATTCTTAGAATTCAATGAGAACGAAGACACAACATACCCAAACTTACGGGACACTTTAAAAGCAGTGCTAAGAGGAAAGTTCATAGCACTAAGTGCCCACATGAAGAAACTGGAGAATAGTCACACTAGAGAATTAGCAGCACAATTGAAAGCTCTAGAACAAAAAGGAGCAAACTCACCCAGGAGGAGTAGAGGCCAGGAAATAATCAAATTGAGGGCTGAAATCAACAAAATAGAAACTAGGAAAACAATACAAAGAATCAATATAATGAAGAGTTGGTTCTTCGAGAAAATCAACAAGATAGACAAACCTTTATCCAAACTTAACAAAGGGCAAAGTGTGAACATGGAAGTTAACAAAATCAGAAATGAAATGGGGGACATAACAACGAAACTGAGGAAATCCAGAGAATCATCAGGTCGTACTTTGAAAACCTGTACTCCACAAAATTCGAAAATTTAAAGGAATTGGACAATTTCTTGGATAGATATCACTTATCAAAATTAAATCAAGAACAGATAAGCAATTTAAATAGACCTATAATCCCCAATCAAATAGAAGCAGCCATCAAAAGTCTCCCAACAACAACAACAACAACAAAAAAGCCCAAGGCCAGGTGGCCTCAGTGCAGAATTCTACCAGAAATTCAAAGAAGAGCTAATACCAGTTCTCCTCAAAGTATTCCATGCAATAGAAGCAGAAAGGTCATTGCCAAACTCTTTTTATGAGGCTTCAATAACCCTGATACCCAAGCCACACAAAGACACAACTAGGAAAGAGAACTTCAAATCGATATCCCTCATGAACATTAATGCAAAAATACTCAATAAAATACTGGAAAATTGGATCCAAGAACACATCAGAAAAATCATCCACCATGATCGAGTAGGCTTCACCCCAGGGATGCAGGGATGGTTCAACATAAATCCACCATTGTAATTCACCATATAAACAACCTGAAAAAGAAAAACCACCTGACCATCTCACTAGATGCTGAAAAAGCCTTTGACAAAATCCAACATCCCTTTATGATAAAGATCTTGGAGAAATCAGGGATAACTGGAACATACTTAAACATAATAAAAGCTATATGCAGCAAACCAACAGCCAACATCAAACTAAATAGAAATAAACTCAATGCAATTCCTCTAAAATCAGGAACAAGACAGGCTGTCCACTCTCTTCAATATTGTACTTGAAGTTCTAACTAGAGTAATAAGACAACAAAAGGCGATCAAGGAGATAAAAACTGGAAAAGAAGAAGTCAAACTTTCACTATTTGCAGATGATATGATAGTTTACATAAGTGACCCAAAAAACTATACACGGTAACTCCTACAGCTGATAAACATCTTCAGCAAAGTGACAGGATACAAGATTAACTAAAAAAAAATCAGTAGCCCTACTATATACAGATGATAAAAGGTCTGAGAGAGAAATCAGAGAAACATCACCCTTTACAATTGCCATAAACAACAACCTTGGGATAACGCTAACCAAACAAGTGAAAGATCTATATAGCAAGAACTTTGAGTCTTTAAAGAAAGACATTCAAGAAGATACCAGAATGGAAAGATCTCCCATGCTCTTGGATAGGTAGGATCAATGTAGTAAAAACGGCAATATTGTCAAAAGTAATCTACAGATTCAATGCAATCTCCATCAAAATCCCAGCACAATTCTTCACAGACCCTGAAAGAACAATTCTCAACTTTATATGGAAAAACAAAAGACCCAGAATAGCCAAAACAACCCTGTTCAACAAAGCAACATCCAGAGGCATCACCATACCTGACTTCAAGCTCTATTATAGAGCTATAGTCCTGAAAACATCTTGGTATTGACACAAAAATAGACAGGTAGACAAATGGAATCAAATTAAACATCCTGATATTAACCCACACACATACAAACACTTGATTTTTGACAAAGAAGCTAAAATTATACAATGGAAAAAAGATAGCATCTTCAACAAATGGTGCTGGCATAACTGGATGCGGGCATTTATAAGACTGCAGATAGATCCATGTATGTCACCATGTAAAAAACTTAAGTCCAAATTGATCAAAGACCTCAACATAAATCCAGTCACACTGAACTTCTTAGAGGAGAAAGTGGGTGGTACCCTTGAACGAATTGGTACAGGAGACAGCTTCCTGAACATAGCACCAGTAGCACAGACACTGAGACCGACAATTAATAAATGGGGTCTCTTGAAACTGAGAACTTTCTGCAAGGCAAAGGACACAATCAACAAGACAAAAAGGCAGCCCACAGAATGGGGAAAGATATTCACCAACCCCACATCTGACAGAGGGCTGATATCCAAAATTTAGAAAGAACTCAAGGAGCAAGTCTCCAAAACACTAAATGATCCAATTAAAAAGTGAGCTACAGAACTAAATAGAGAATTCTCAATAGAGGAGTCTAAAATGGCTGAGAGACACTTAAGAAAGTGCTCAACATCCTTAGCCATTTCCAGATCTTTGGGAATGACAAGAAGGGAAGGGAAGACCCACAGAGGAGAAAACAGTCTCTCCAGACTGCATGTGACTGGGGAATGGCTCTCCATTCTGGAGACAAGCTTCACAGAGCTCAAGCCTTGTATTTACTATGATGTATGAGTCACCACATGGGTCAGAAGAGTGGGGCTCTTCACTGGTTTTCACCTGGACTTGGGCACTGGATCAGTGTCTCTAATGGATACAATTCAAATACGTTCGCCAACATTATTTAGCTGTATTGATCTAAACAGGCACACAAATACTTTACCTTCCCCCACCCCAGTTCTCAGAACTTATTCAAGTACAGACAGACATACAAACACATGCATACACACTCATATACCCCCAAATCTCCTTTCCTGTTTACTTTTTATTGCTTCTGTTGTCTGAAAAAACGAATTTACACAGAGAAGTTTTTTCCCCCCACCAATTTTGCCAAACTCATGAAGTGCCACTGCATTCAAAAGAATGAGGGAGCATTTGTTAGTTTCTTAGCATCCTTTGGCAAGCAGCTCTCCCACATCTCAAGGGGCCAATGTCAGTTCTCCTCCTCTCTTTTACTATAATGAAGGTTGTTGTTGAAATGTGTATTAGACCAGTGATTCCAGAAGCAGGCTTTGGGGAATTGCATGCCATGTCTGAAGAAACTATGGTAGGGGGAGAAGAGGAGCAGCTGGTATGATGTGACCTCATAGCAGGCTAAGCAGGCTTTTTTATGTTGAAACACCCACTTTACCCCGTGATTCATATAAAAGCATGGTTTTTAAATTATGTATGTACCAAACTTTAATTTTCATTTCACACTCAAAAGTTCTGTACAAAAAGAGGCAATGCAGGCAAAAAACCAAAAAATTACAATGACTTCGGCAAACAACATATGACAGCTTCAAAGCCCCTTCTAATGTGCAACCATCCTTACAGGTGTACTGTGACAATGGACTTAGTTCTGAAGGTTGGGGCTGGTGAAGACAAAAATCCCAATGTTAGTTATTAATTTCTACAACAGTTGAGAGATGCCTACTATATAAAATTGAGTGAGAAGTTTGAATTCTACTGCACAACTGGATCCTTAGATTGGGTATGTTTCATCTTGCTCTTGAAGAAGCATGAAATATTTTGACTTAATTGTGATGATGTCTTGAAAACTTAGGCTTTCCATTCATGTTTGACATGACTGTGATAACTAAGAATGTATGTTTATGTTGATGAGGAAGACATTAAGTATTAAAATACACCCAAGACCTTCTTCATGGTCTTTAGCTGATATTCTGGTTCTACTGTGGCTCTAATATTCTGGCTCTATTTATTACAAATAAAAATGTCCATTTTCACAAAGCTTTTGCTATGAATGCCTAGGTGAACATGAGAGAAGTTACCATGCCAAAAGTAGCAACATGTCTGGGAAACGTCATTTTTATCTTCCTTCTTGCCTCAAATTAAGTATCTGAGTCATATAAAACACTTTATTTTAAAACTATGAGACATTAATTATGAAGTATTATCAACATTGACATTGTCCCTAGTGTTTTCCCCCAAACTACCCATGAGTGCTGAATACATCTGCATGCAGCACAGAAAAAGGAAGAAAAACCAAATTATTTAAGGATTCCCAATGCCTATTGGACAGTCTGTTAAGAGAATTGGTCTCCCACAAAAGTTTAGGAGCAGACTGAGGGCCCACTCCCTGTTAGTGATCACAGACACAGATCAGCCTGTCCTCTTGGTGACCTGAGGCAACTATTCAGACCCTAGGCTTCTCAAAATTCAAGTCCCACTGAGTCTCACCTTGGAGACAATGGACTGGCTAGGCTGACAGCACCCATACACACATTTGGTCCCATTGAATAGAAAGTCTAACTAAAAGTTACAAATGTCCTCAACTCTGTGTGTGTGTGTGTGTGTGTGTGTGTGTGTGTGTGTAATATGACAGACAACCCCTAATGTTTTCTTATGTAGCCAGCTGAGAGGCAGCTATGGTGTAGATACGTGGCTTGGGTTCATGGCTCAGGTCTGTGTCTACGAGCCCAAGAGAAATTGGGCAGTCCTTTGTTCTTTGAAATCTTAATCTCCTCTTTTGAAGAAAGGTCAAATGAACACATGCTCATCAGTATTGTGCATCTCTGCCCTCATAGGCTTGAGAGTTGTCCAACTGAGCACTGCCTATGGTTGCCAAATAGCATACCCTAAAGCTGACCATTGGAGAACGTCTCACCCCACATGATTGCATTTTCTGAATCTTGGCATTCCTAGGTTTGACAAGGTCACAGAAGCCATCTACCATGATTCTGTTGCAGCGAGAACACGCACATCAGTCAAGTGACTGTACTTACTCTGCTGGTAAAGCACCGAGGGACAAGGCTTTCACCTCTCCATTGACTGACTACACTGACACATAGGCTGGGGAACCGGTTCTACCATTTCTCTGCTGACTACACTGACATATAAATCAGGGAACCAGTTTTCCAATTTGTTTGCATTTCTTTGTTGAAACAAACCAAGTGTCCCCTTTCTTGGGGTGCTCAATGGAATGTTGAATGGCCACTAGTCTGGAAGTATTGGTATTTCACAGCTCTTCTCTTGGAATGTTGCAAACCAAATAATACTATATCCTGATCACCCTAGACCTGACTCCTAGGATTATCATTCATCAGATGTCTGGAAAATTCTCTCCTTCCAGTGAAGATATGCAAGTAATAACACAGGCTAGCCTCAAGCTTTCTCTACAAGGGTCCATACACTCCACAATATATATTCATAGGCCACATGGTGAAGAAGGAAGAGTATAGATTCAGATGGGAAACACTCAGGATCTAGTCCTATGTAGGAGTCATCTTGTGTGCCCACATCTTTCTATTAGAGGCCAGAATATGTTTCCAAGATTCCACCCTAACTCAGCTCTGGCCTATAGGCAGAATGACTGCAGGCCTGGTGATATTAATAACAATAAGGATACTCACTGAAAATTATACATGAAGGAAGGTTGGTGGAGTGGCTCCTACTAGTCTTCCAGGACTCTCAGCAACTATCTATTTTAGATTTTTAAAAACTTCATTTATTTTATTTTATGTGTATGTTTTTCCTGCATGTATAGAAGTGCACTATGTGTAAGGGTGGTGCCCATAGAGGGTATTAGATGCCCTGGAACTGGAGTAAAGGATGGTTGTGAGCCACCATGTGGGCATTGGGAACTGAACCCAGATCCTCTGCAACAGCAACAAACATTCATAACCACTGAGCCATCTGTCCAGCCCCAAGACTGCCTATTTCATACACGAGGAAGGTGAGACTAAAGGTGACTCTGCCAAAGTCCTCAAACCAGTGGAGGCTGACACCAGTCAATCAAAAAACTGTTTTTCTCTCAAAATTCCTCCAGTTTTCCGGTAAATAACAAAGTGCCTTAGTTCTCAGTTCTGACATGAACAGTCCATTTTGACAGAGAAGGGGGCTCCCTTATTAAGAGGGGAGGTGTACCTAGAACCCTGCAGGCTCCTGGGAAGTGAGTAGTCTTGTTTACAACCAGAGTGCCATTTATCTGTCCCCGCAGGCAGAGGGTTGACACAGATATGACTGTCCTTATCCCAACTCTCTCTCTCAAACACTCTTTACGATAGCAACTTTTCCTCAATCGTCCTGCAAGAGCCCCTCTATCTACCCCATTGCCTCCTCGTTAGTGAATTAAAGCACAGGCAATTTTCCTCTCGCAAAAACCAAAAGGGAATGGGAGGGACACAAGTTGAGGCAGAAGGAGAAGATTTGGATTAATAAAACACGTGCATACAGAAAAGCTGCACGCGGGGTTTGCCGGCGGAGGGGGTGGGCGTGCTGAACTCAGAACACTTGTGCTGTACTCTACACATGCATTTTTCTTATCTTGGATTCTTCTCTCTGTCTCTCTTTCTGTCAGGGCAAAGGTTATGTGCGTTTCTTGTATCTGAGCTAACACAGGAAATCAAGTACTTTGTGTTTCTATAAACTATACTCCCAGAGAGATAACACGCCTAGAATTAGAACAATTCCACAAACTATTAAGAATTTTGGATTGTTACAGGTGTCATTGCAAGGCTCCAGCAGCCAGGATTGAAGATCCCAAATTTGGCCCTCGGAGGGAGAAAGGATTCCGGTTTCAGACATCAAAGATAAGGCTCTCATGTCAATTTATGCTCTGCTGGGTTGAGTCAGTCAGGATACGAATTAAGGTCCATATATTTCAGTGACAAGAAGGAAGTGGTTACGTAAATACACAAGTATTAACATCAATCTGTATTAAATTATGTAAACATATACATCTTCTGAGGTCAGCACACAGATCCTCTTCTGCAAACGGGGCTCTACTGAAGCATCGCCCGAATCTGTTTGGAAGTTGATTCATCATTCAAGTGCTTTGTAGTGAACCTGAATGGGGAAAGAGAGCGGGTGTCAGGGCTCATCCAAGTGAAATTTGTAAACAAAAACCATAGGCTCACTTCTTTTGACAAAGAGAGAGGCATATTTTGGTGTCCATTCCATATATTCTCTGCGAGATTTTTAATAATTTATTTAACCTTTATTTTTATGTGCATTGGCATCAGATACCCTGCAACTGGACTTAGATGATTGTGAGCTGCCATGTTTGTTGGTACTGGGAATTGAACTCTGGTCCATCTGGAGGAACAGCTAGGGCTCCTAACCACTGAGCCATCTCTCCAGCCCTGAAAGTTTATTTTTGGTTTGACTTTGACGTTGATTTGTTCAGTATTCCAGGTCGGCATTGCGCTCTCTCTGTAACCCAGGTTGGTCTCACATTCACGGCAATCCTCTATCTCACAGGCACACCCCACAATGTAGGGACTGTGCTTATCCCCATTTCCACCACCAGGGGGCACAAATGTAGTCATACACTCGAGCTGTACTATAAAGCATCTCCTAACTCAATCTTATGTGCAAATGATTGTAAAAGATTGACCTGTAACAAAACTTTGGCCATACCTTAGGCACTCTGGGTCACAAAGAACTTTTCAAATGTGGTAAGTGACTCGATTTCACAGTTTCAGTGGCCCACTCTCAATCGCACAGCAGATGGTTTTGACTCCTGAAACATCTGTGACTTTTGACTTGAGCCTAAGTCTGACTGTCTTGAAAACCTACATTCTTCCCACTTGGTCATTTTTCTCCAGAAAACACAAATTCCCACATTGGGATGGAACTTGTCCCTTCCCACAATTTCCTGATCTCCAACATGCGTTGGCGCTAGAATGAAACTGGAAAGTTCCAGAAATTAAGAGGTTGAAGTCTTCTTAACGAACATGGGAAGCCAGCCTGGTGTGCTTACAGTCTGCAATCCAGGATTCAGGAGGCTCTTACAGCAATGACTCGTTTATTCTCTAAAGCTGATGAGTTGGCAACTCAAAAAAACAGCAACCTTAGTGTCTTGAGACTGCCAGCTTCTTGATCTACTAAAGGAGAAGGATAGAGCAGTCTTGTGTCCATGGATTGGGATGGCTGCACTTGACATTGTGACTGGAGGTAGAACTCTGCATGCAGAAATGAGTGCTGACTCGTTTCTTTTAGACTCACCCATGCTTCCTGCATGTATTCCATTGCACGGGTCTGGAGGAAATGAAAGGCTAAGACAGCAAGGTCCATAAGTCTTCCCCATTGAAATTCTGTATTGGGATGGTTTGTGTGGTTCAGCAAATTCCTTTGGATGCAGCACAGCTAAGATATAAATCTCCTCCCTGCAACGGACTAAGCAAATGCATCCTTGGGAAAAGAGGAGATGCCTAAGGAGTGGGAACACACTGCAGCTGGCTAAATATTCAGGCATCCAGCAGTGAATAACAGGTCCTCAAGAGTTCTGGCAGCTGCAAGTTGGAGCCACTTGGGGGAGTTTGGACGGAGCAAACACAAACAAACAAACAAACGAGCAAACACAAGAGGGATGCTTGAGCTTCCAAGCCAGTGATCTAATTTACTTGGATTGCAACCTCGGGCCTGAGAACTCCCCTCATCTTCCTACCACACCGCCATGGTCGGAAGCCCTTGGTGAAGATAGACATGAACACTGGAGGCTTTCCTTCTCTGGAGACTCCACTACTTACAGAGCATCACGGCTAAGAGTCAGGCCCAAGACCCATGGGGCTACCCAGATCCAGGTATAGGTCCTAACTTGGCCCTTTACTGTGTGACATGGAAAATTTATTTGACCTCACATAGATAGGTATGGTGGCTCGTGCCTTTAGTCCCAGCACTCAGGGGGCAGAGACAGGTAGATCTCTGAGTTCAAGGCTAGCCAGGACCACAAAGCAAGTTCCAGCATAGCCAGGACTACACAGATAAACCCTGTCTCAAACCCCCAAAACTTAACTTACCTCAGCTTCTCCCATCTGTAAGAAGCATTGCTAGGAAGATGAATGACACGACAAGGTAAGGTCTAAGACTGGTGCTCAGGCTTTTAGCCCCTAACAGCATCCAAATTTGCAATGGTCAGAAAGGGAAACTGTGCTGTCACCCCAGAGACAGGCTTACCTGAGAGCATTCAGCAGCCCTTCCACACTGTCTGGGGCCTGTTCCTTCAACACCTTTATACAACCTTTCATCTGGAAGAGGAAAGTACAGCATTTTGTTAATATTCTAGTAACCCCATCCACAGTGGCATCTGTCCACATTACCAACTCTCTGAAGCAGCAGCACAGGGAGATCAGGAATAAACGGCTCTACCTCTCAGGATGGTGCATCGTTCCATGTACCATCAAGAGTTCTGGGCTGGGCAGTGGTGGCGCATGCCTTTAATCCCAGCACTTGGGAGGCAGAGGCAGGCGGATCTCTGTGAGTTCGAGGCCAGGCTGGACCGACAGCCTCCAAAACAATACAGAGAAACCCTGTCTCGTAAAAACCAAAAAAAAAAAAAAAAAAGAGTTCTGTACAACTGCACACTTCCCATCTCTACTGATTTTCATCCTCTACCACAACTGTCCTTTTGACCTGTTTCGGGGTCAACATCTTGCCTTCTACTCTGGAGCCCAGACCAGGAACAGAAATCGCTCTCCTTGGCACTCAGTTGAGACTTAGTGTTTTACTCACCCCCATAATTCAATGGTTTTTCTGCTAAGAATGCTTTTCTTCTCTTTCAGCTGTTGACTGCCACACCCTCAAGTTCACCAGCCCCAGGAAGTGTGTGTGTGTGTGTGTGTGTGTGCACTGGTGTAGGTGTGTTGCATACATGTGGAGGTCAGAGGACAAGTTCAGCTGCCATTCCTCAGGTACTAGCCACCTAATTTTTTAGGAAGGGTCTCTTTGGCCTGAAGCTTGCTAAGTAGGCTAGGCTAGTTGACAAGAAAGTCCTGGAGATCCCCCCATCTCCACTCCCCCAAGGCTGGGAATGCAAGCACACCAACCACATCTGGCTTTCTTTTTAAAAAATGGCTTCTGGAGATGAACTTACTCCTGGTGCCTTCAAAGTCAACACTATGCAGGCTGAGATATCACCGTGGCCCAGGCAGGCTCTTTTCATCCCACTCATACTATAGACAGTCACTACCACTTATTTGTGAGCCCCAATATAGCTTATCATTTATTAGGTAACTCTGGATAGACTAGTCCCTCCTCAGGTCAGTAATTTGTCTTGCTCACTAGGCCAGTGAGTCCTAGTAGTACAGGTCTGTGTCTTAACCATCTCTGAAAAGTCTAGCAAAGGGCAATTGTAAAGGATGTGAACCTTACAGAGGTCAAATGCCTAGTTTTTTTTTTTTTTTTTTTGGTTGTGAGCCTAGCCTTTAACGGCTGAGCCATCTCTCCAGCCCCAAATGCCTAGTTTTTTTTTTGGTTGTGAGCCTAGCCTTTAACGGCTGAGCCATCTCTCCAGCCCCAAATGCCTAGTTTTTTTTTTTTTTTGGTTGTGAGCCTAGCCTTTAACGGCTGAGCCATCTCTCCAGCCTAGTTTTTAACACTGCTTTGTATTTGCACGAACTTACATAAGTTCCTAAGTTTTTCTGAGGTGTTGGAATTAAAGTAATCTAATTCTGTCATGAAAATTTAAATTTACATAGATCATGTTATTTTATGCATGTTCTTGGGTGTTTTACTTATCCTTTGGAAAAGCAAAATCTTTCTATAAAAAGTCAATCACTTCTTTTAATCTTAGGCATTCATGCAGTGTGGGCATCTGGCAAGCTTCATTCTACCAACGGCTACTTGCAGAGGGGCGACTTCTTAACACTTCTTGTAGTCACACTTTCAACATGCAAAAGTTTTATGGTAACAACTTGAGAGTCCCTGTCAGCTGATGAAGGTAGCCAAGACCCAAGACCGAGAAGCATTTGGAGATCATACAGGAACGAATGTCAGGGTCAAATCTATCAAAGATACAGGTTTGGAGAGAGGCTACAAATATGCCAGTTACGTGCCACTCCAGGTTTGTGATGGATATGCGGAGAATTTTGTCCCTCTCCCAGTAGAGATGGGGTCTAGTGGGAGGAGAGAGACAGGCAGCTGAGGATCACGATGTGATAAGTGTTCACATGATTACTTCCCAAGGGGCAGTGGGAGCATGGATGCAGAAGGGGGTGGACGGGCAGTGGGTACTCTTGAGGAGTTTCCAGTTCTATTTCAGGATGATTAAAACCGTGGGTGGGAAGAACAAGAAACTGTCAGAAACACATTCAGGGCCAGAGCCAGTGTGGGTTTAACTACACAGTCGGAACTTGGAGGCTTTTCCTCGTAGAAAACACCCTTGGTAGGTGTTGAGCATTGTATAAATGTAGTGGGTATAGAAGGAGGTAAAGACAGGAAGAGGAGGAGGAGTGAAAAATCTCAGGTTGTGGGTGGGGGTGGCAGTGAGTTGAAACAGGGGGTGATGGATGCTCGATCCCTGATAACCTGTGAGCATGAGGAAGAGGGACACAAACAATTCCTAGGATCTGAAGGATGATAGCCCTGGGTTTCTTCGAGTGCGGATACTGGATGAGAGGATGGGACGATATCTCAAATAGGGTTCATGGGGGGAAGGAGAACCTTTGGTTGGGGACTGGCCATGTTTCATGTATCCATGACAAGACAGGAGAAGTCTTGGCTGGGGACAGGGGTTAAGGTGTGATTCTTTATGGAAGTCACTCGAGAATACCAGTTCATTCCCACACATCTTTCCTAGCACCAAGATTGCCCCTGGTCTCTAAAGCCTCATCTTCCCAGTGTCTTGGTGATTTTGCTCTGACTCCTCCCTCTATCCATCTGAAACAATCCTAGATGGACTAGTATCCCAGCATTCTAGCTATGTGTGGGAGGCTGGATGTCTCCTCCTAACCGTGTGGGAAAGAGTGGACTGCTTGCTAGGAGGAAATTTGCCATGCATCTCTAGGATATAAATCTCGGAGAGGGATGGAGGCCAGAGGAAGAGAAGCAAGGTCCAGTTGGTGACATTTATGGGCCTTTATTTGGACAGTGCATTGTGTGAGAGTTCTTTATATAAACAGTGCATTGCATGAGCGTTCTTACATCAATCTTGGATGTCTTGCAGAAGGCTCCCACGGGGTGCACGTGGTCATAGAGGATGATGACGCCCACCATCACCCTCATGCAGAACATGAGTGTCTCCTCACTTGTGAACCTGCTCCTATACTCCCTGAAAGAGAAGACACAGCCATGGCATCACTTCTTTATCCAGACACGTGCATTCTAAGATCTGCAGCTGGCAGCTTCTCTACTCCCTCTGCACCCCCTACTCCCCAGAGAACTTATCCAGGACCTGCAACAACCAGGTTAATATGCTCTTGAATAGAGCCAAGATGATCACTTTCCTTGAGTCTATCCAAATAGCAATTCAGTGCAAAACTACGGTAAATGAGAGGGCGGTAAATTCCCTTTTCTGCTTCCCTTCAGCAGCTAGCTCACCGTGTACATCAGCCCCTGCCCATCAATCTTGAATATTTTATAGCCGGCCCCTCTGGCTGTCCGAGATTATAGAGAATAATGGCTTCATTAAGGAGAAAAAGAATCAGGCTCATTTTGACACAACGGCTCTCTTGTATCCAGCCGGAGTCAGCTCCTTTGTTAAGATACGGGCTGTGGATGAGCTTGGATTGGCAGATATCATAAAGAAATTATGTACCTAGAAGTTATTTGTGGAGGTTAAATTTTGCTCATTTACACAGATAGGGGCCCTGATGATTGCAATAATTTAGGCCAATGCTAGAGACGTTTTTAGCATCAATTTCATTATGAGTTGGCCCCACAATGCAGACAATTACTATTTCTGTCTTGAAATAAATCTTAACTTTGATATGAAGGAAAGATTTAAAATTAATACCCTTTTATGGGGCAAGGAAGATGGCTTGCTGGGTAAAGCACTTGCTGCATGAGGGGGAGGAACTGAGTTTGGATCCCCAGGCCCATTTATATGCCAGGTGGTCGTGCCGGCCAGTTTTATGTCAGCTTGACAGAAGCTAGACTCACTGGTGAAGAGAAACCCTCAATTGAGAAAATGCCTCCGTTAGATCTGGCTGTAGGCAAGCATGCAGGGCATTTTCTTAATTAGTGAGTGATGGGGAAGGGGCCAGCCCATTGTGGGTGATGCCATCCTGGGTTGGTGGTCGTGGGTTCTGTAAGAAAGCAGGCTGAGCGAGTCATGAGTAGCAAGCCAGTCAGCAGCACCCTCCATGACCTCTGCATCAGCTCCTGCCTCCAGGTTCCTGCCCTGCTCGAGTTTCTGCCCTGACTTCCTTCAACGATGAACTATAAAGTAGAAGTATACGTCCAGTAACCCTCCCCACTTTCATTTGGTCATGGTGTTTCATCGCAGCAACAGTAACCCTAACACAGTGGCCCACCTGCAATCCCAGCTCTTGGGAGGCAGATACAGGGCATGTCTGTGGAAGCTGATTACCCAGCCTAGTCTTATTAGCAAAATCTGGATTCAAGTGACAGACCCTGCCCCAATATACATGTCAGACAGCAATCAAGGAAGATACCCAAAGTCAACCTCTGGCTTACACACACACACACACACACACACACACACACACACACACACACACACACACACATTCACTCACAGAGGCATGTCCATGCACACACATGTGCACACATGCATGCACACAAATGTATATGCATCTGCAAATACATGTGAATACACACATACTTGAACACCACACACATACATTCATGAAGATATAAAAAGGATAAAAGAGTCATTTTATATTTGAAGACAGTCACCTTTATAAGGGGCCTGTAGCACTTCTGGGCTTCCAAACACCCTACAGAGCAGATGGTATTGGGGAAACTTTACTGGAGACAGAATACAAGGAAGGTCCAAAGAGGCCAGGAAGTTCATTCATAGTCATAGTGAGCAGCACAGACTAAGTGCATCCCCAAGCTTCCCCTGTAACTGTGTCCTTCATCCTTAGTTACCCCAACCATCCTTTACACTGATATCCAGCAACTAGTTTAGGAACAAAGAAACGGATGGGGAGAGAGGTGAGTGTGTGTGTGTGAGTGTGAGTGTGTGTGTGTGTGTGTGTGTTATTTTTGCAGCAGTCTTAGCATTGCTACTCTTGGTTCTAAATCTCTCAAATCTCTACAGTATTTTGATAATAGTGCTCAGACATCTAGCCCATCTCTCCATTTCTTTTCTCTCCATTTTTTTATCACTTAGAGCAGTGATACTCAACCTGTGGGTTGTGACCCCTGTAGAGGCCACACAACCCTTTCATAGGTATCACATGTCAGATATCCTGCATACCAGATATTCACATCACATTTCATAACTGTAGCAAAATTGAAGCAATGAATAGCAATGGAAATAATTCTATTGTTGGCTGGGGGGTCACCACAACATGAGGAACTGTATCAATGGGTACATCAGAAAGGTTAAGAACCACTTCCTTATAGCATCTGAGAAGCTGTAAAAACGTTGTGAAGTCAATCAACCCATCAGGGAGGGCCTCAGCTCTTTCAGTTGTGAAATGGACACAACATTGGCACAGATCACCCTGAGTTCCTATTGAAACAGAAGCAAGTGCTGTACGTGGAAACTTGAATACAACATCAAACAGAGGGCATGCCACTATCAACACATCTGAACAGGTCCCAGCTGGATGGACGCTTAGCCATGCCCACACCTCTGGTTTCACTTACGGTGTCTCCAGCATGACCTTGCAGACGCTTGTCATGGTACTGAGGCAGTCTGTGGTATTCTCTATGGGCAGGGTTTTATTCTAAGTGGAGAGACAGAAACACACATCAGGCCTCCTAGCAGCACAGGGAAAAAAGGGCACTCCGCGCCACTCAATGGACTGCACTCACTTCCGAGACAAAGTGCATTGTGGCATTGCTAAGAGTCTTCAGCATTGGCGTGGCTTCTGCATAGAAGAGGGACATTCGGTTGGCCATCTCGTTATTCACTTCATTCTCAATGTCTAGCTGATGAAAACAAGAGAAGAAACAGTTACAAAGAGAAAGTCATTGTCTCCACAACCACGTTACAGACAAGGACTGTGCCTTCTCCAGGGGCCCTGCCAGACGCAGAAGTCAAGGCAGCCATGGAGAGATGGTGGCCCCGGCCAGGGACTCACATGCATGTTGTTGATGCGGTTGCGACTTATTGTTCTTCTGTAGTAACTAAAGTCATTCTGAATGGCTGGGTTCCTCATCTGAAATTGGGGAGAGAAGCAAGAAGGTCAGCTTCCACAAACAGTTGAAGGGCCAACATCAGGAGCCCAGACATGAGTGGCAGGACTTCTCTTTGGCATTCAAGAGCCGGGGGGGAGCAACCGTTAAAAATAAGAGTCAATAACTCCAGTGCCCTGAAATATGTCCCGCTCTTACTGTGGGCTGTATTTCTGGGAAAGCACATTTGCCTAATGAGGAAAAGGCACTTGTATGGGTTCTCTCTGCACTCACTTGACAGTTTCCGAATTTCCACAGGTACATCATCCTCTTAGATTACTCTGACCACACAGAATGCAAATATTCACCATGTTATAAGCCTCCGTGGGAAGGTATTCCATCTTACTATCCCACCCGGACCTTACAGCTTGAGCAGAAGAGCCATAGAGTAGTGCTATCCAGTTCAACTTCCACATATGTGTGACCTGACCTTCAGCTCATCAAATCGAAGGGTAAAATGTAAGATTTCTGCAAATTCCTTGGCCAGGGCCTGCTCCCGCTCCAGGTGTTGGGTTGGTGTGTAGGGTGGGCACGTCAGAGATTCCAGTAAACTCTGAAGAGCTTTTTCTGAAAGTCAAGGAGAGACAGAGATATATTCAGGGGGACCAGAGACATCCTTTAAAAGCACAGCGCTTAGTTTGAGTTGACATTCTCAGAGGCAACCTGCGTGACTGGTCCCTTTTGAGTATTTCCTAAGGCCAGTTCACTTAGTAATCTCATTTCCTGAGCCTTGTAGAAAACCACGAATACATGTATGGAGCTTGTGTGCTTGAAGGCCACTAACGAATCAGGGTGAGATGAGTGGGTAAAATGTCCGACGTGCAGACATGAGGACCTAATTCATACCTATAGCACCCACAAAAAAATGCTGTACTGGGCTACAGCAGGTAACCCTAACTTTGAAGATGGGCATGGGGATAGAGATGGATGAGTCAGGGCTCTCTGGGGCTGGGCAGTTCAGGCAGTCAGTGAACAATAGAAGACACCAACGTCAGTCTCTGGTCTCCACACACATGTCCAAGAGCTCTGAACACATGCGTTAGTCACCTATTTAACACCACGGAGATTCTAGCTTCTTCCAGCGTGTTTCTGTTTCTATATCCCCACTATATTTCTCAACAAATCTACCACATTTACCTTAGCTATTGTTCTCACAATAACCTCAATCCCTCCCATTTGCCTGTTTCTAATCATTCTCCACTCTTTTTGCCTCCATGTGTCTTTTAATAGCAAAGCCATTTAACCAATGGCAGGAGTTGGTAAACCATGATCCATGAGCCAAATCTGTCCCAATGTTTATTTTTATAAATAAAGTTTCATTTAAAAGGTAGATATGTTCATCACTTCCTGTTGGTTACTGTTGGTGTTGGCATTACGATGGTAAAAATCTAGTTACTGAAAAGGCAGGGCGGCTCACTCTTGTGAGCAAATTCTTTCCCTTTCTGCTGAGGTAGAACTCAGGTCCTTGGAATATCAGCTCACTACATCCAGATGCACGCGAGGACACAGAGAATTCAATTTCTCTTCTGCCCGAGAACCTGAGGCAACCTTTGTTTGTGAAATCAGTTTGTGCCACCCCCTCAGCTGGTCGTAACGTCAAGTCCTACTCAACAGCACAGTCATGGGTTCCATTTCGATTTTCCTCTTAAAATACGGCACTCGTTTTAGTGGCAAAGCACTACTGACTGCCTTTTCCATTCTAAATGCACTGTACTAACAATGAAATTCCAAGCAATGGCAGTAACTACACCACGGTGCACCGGGCATAGAGCCAGTTTGCCAACCTCATTTGCCTCCACTCCAGCTTCTGCAGAGACATGCTGTTTCTGTGCAGCTTCAGTTCTGTTTTTAAAGCTCAAGTAAGAATGCTAGTTTTATTTTCTTACATTTTGTACTCAGCTAATCGTGTTGCGGGGAGGGTGAGTAGACTGTGGCTTCAGATAAACTCTACCCTCCAGCTTGGTTTTCGTTAAGAAATGAGATCAATAGACGGCAGCCTAGCCCGATTGTGTCAGAGAGGCTTCATCCAGCAACTGATGGGAGCAAATGCAGAGAGAACTGAGCTCAACAGAGCCGAGCCCAGCCTGACTGTCAGAGGGGCTTCTTCCAGTGACTCATGGAGCTGATGCAGAGAGAACTGAGCTCAACAGAGTGGAGCCCAGCCTGCCTGTCGTCAGAGGGGCTTCCTCCAGTGACTCATGGAGCTGATGCAGAGGCCCACAGTAGGCATTAGGCAGAGCTCAGGGAACCCCACGGAAAAGGGGGTGGAAAGACTGTGGGAGTCAGAGGGGTAGAGAACATCACAAGAACACAGGCCACGAAAGTCAAGTAAGCAGGGTTCATGGGAGCTCACAGAGACTGGAGCAACAATTACAGATCTGCATGGGTTTGAGCTAGGTCCTCTGCATGTATGTTATGATTGTGTAGCTTGGGGTTCTTGTGGGCCTCCTAACAGTGGGAGTGGAGCTATCTCCTACTCTCTTGCCTGCTCTTGGGATTCTTTTCCTCCTACAGCCTCGATATGACAATTTCTGCCTAGTCTTATTGTAACTTGTTGTGTCATGTTTGGTTGACAACCCTGAGAGGCCTGCTTTCTTTTCTGAGGGGAGACAGAGGAGTGTATCTCGAGGAGAGGGAAGGGAGGAAGGAAGGGAGGAAGGGAGGGAGGAAGGGAGGGGGGAAAGAACCAAGTCCTGGGCTGGAGTGACGTCTCAGTAGCTAAAAGTACTTGCTGCTCTTACAGAGGACCAGGGTTTGGCTGCCAGCACCCTCATGGCAACTTGCAACCATCTGTAGCTCCAGTTTCAAGGGATCTGACACCCTCTTCTGGCCTTTGAAAGTTCGTCTATGCCACAGGCACACATACATAACAATAAAAAAGAAATCTCAAAGAAATGGGATTAGAAGGCTTTGAAGAGATGAGCACAGTGACAAAGTGTCAAGAGACCCTGAGCCAGTAGAGGGTGCCAATCAGTGACTCTCAGAGAAAGAAACTGGTGGTAGATCGAAAGAGACAAGAGCAATGGAAACCGTTTGTGAATGGCCTCACAATATGCAAATAGGGGACATTTTCCAACGTGTAAAGCTGTTCCCTCTACCCTCTCAAATGGAACAATAACAACAATAATAATAACAATAGAAGTACTGTGTGGGACAGGATAACTTTGGCATTCACTCACCAAGCCGGATGGAAAATTCATAAAACCGTTTCAGTCTCACGACCAGGGGGCAGACTGCATTCCAAGCCTTTTCTTGAAGTTGAATGTCATTGGGATTTTGAATTGCCTACAGGAGAAAAAGGGGATGACGATGGGTTTCCAGTTTAAGAAAACTAGTTATCTCACACCAACGAGGCCTGAATGATTTAGTTTTTAAAAAGGTGCAAACCCTAGTGTGCTTGGAGAATTAGAACCACCTCGGTTGACAATGAGTATCTGAACTATTGATTCCCCAAAGGACTAATTTCTGAAGGCAATTTCAACACTTGAGCATAAAGCTAATGGGTCCAAGTAGATCTTGCCTCATCTCCCTTGCTGCTGTGTTCTTGGGTTCAAAACAAACAAAACAAAACATTGGAATTGGAAGACTTGGCAATGGCTCTTGATCCATTTAAAGATCACTCATTATAAAGAATGGAGGCTGTAGCTATTGTGTCTTTTCTGTGATATACAATGTGATACACATTGAAGTAGAAATGCCACACCTTAATAGACTTCCTCAGTAGCATCCTGACAGCGGTATGTTCTCATGAGGACTGTGTGTGTGTGTGTGTGTGTGTGTGTGTGTGTGTGTGTGTACACACAGAAGTAGTGTGTGTGTAAGGTTTTTCCTTCTTCTCTCAGGGTTTAATCACGTCAGTATTGTCATTGACTTACATCTCGGATCTCTGGTCCCGCGCCTTTGTAAGCCTGCAGGTCTGTGAGGATGCTCTCAGAATCCTGGAGGACAGCACTGATCTGGTTCCATATCTCTCGCTCTCCTTCTGTTGGCTGGGCATCTAAGTGACACAGAAACCAGGAGAAACTAAGGCTGGTGTTTCCCAACAGGTCTCAGAGTCCACGAGTTCAGCAGCCCCCTCTTTTCCTCCAGCTTCGGGAGCTACTCTGTAACTTTACAAGCTGTTAGGTAAGAAAAATGAACATAGCTTCTGCCCCTGACTTAGTTCAAAGCACCCAACAACTTTTCAAATACATATTAAGCCTAATGTGATCAAATTGGTCTAAATGTTCATTTGTTAATTTATTTACATAAAAAGCATCTCTGTATACCTTATGTGTATTTGGTAATATTACATTGTATTATATTTGTATACCTTACGTGCATTGAGTAATATTATATTGGGTAACAGGAGGGGTAAACACTTTGGGGGGAGCCAACTTCTTTTTAATGACCCTTTCATTGTGTTTATTCTTCCTTAAAGCTACCACTTTCACTGTGGCCAAAATATGTAACATATAATGTACACCATAGCCATTTTTAAGTGTGGCGAGCAGCATTACTGATAAAGTTATGAGTCCTCCTCTCATTAAGCTCCATAGCTCTCTTGATCTTGGAAAGCCAAAGCACTGTATAGAGTATAGATTTTAATAGACTATGAGCTATTTCCATCATTGAAAACCTGCAGACATGAATACAGATGAAAAAAAGCCCCTCTTACATATATATCTTTTATTTTATATACTCACACTATTTTATATAAATTCATATTATCATATGTATTTGTATACACCAATCAACTTTAAAGTGCACTTAATTTGAGACTGGGCTGATGACTCAGTAGGTAAAGGGAGGAGTTTGCTGCCAAGCCTAAGGACCTGAGTTTGATGCACGGGACCCACCTAGTGGAAGAAGAGAACCAACTCCTGAAGTTGTCCTCTGACCTCCACATGTGTGTCATGGCACACCCTCTCCCCAATAATTGAATGTAATAAAAAAGCACATCATTCCAGAACAGTGACATACAGGAAGCACCGAAACATCCCATACACATAAACACCCCATCTAAGACCCAATGGGTAGAGTCTTCTGGGAATGCATCAGGGCATGGAAACACTCTTAAAGAAGAAAGTCCATGAGAAGGGGAGGGGCTCGTCTGGAAGAAGAAAGGGGTCCACAGAGGTAGGATGTGCACACAAAGGTTTCTCAGCAAAGGCACGTAGGGAGTTCATTGTCAAAATGTCTGTCTTGACTGTGTTGGCTGCAGAAGTGTGTGACGTGTTACGTTCTCATATATGAAGGCAGCAGTTTGTTAGCCACAAAGTGCTGTGTAAGCCCTCCAGGAAGTTCTTACTCTCCGGCATCTCTTTTACCCCTAGTAGCATTTCATGGAGACCCATAGTTGAGAAACATGGGCTTTTGCCGCCCTCAAAATTGCGATGAATCCGGCTAGTTTCTCCCTGTATAATGATGTCACTGCTCAGGGAGAGAGAGACAGATTTTTGTTTCCAGGCATTTAAATCCTGAGATGAGGGATGCTGTCAGCAACTTAACTAACAGAATGACAAGAACATAGTTGTATGAAGTCTGACACTCCCCTGACCCAGCCCCAATTTTATCTAATATTTCCATAATACAAAGGGCGGATGCTCCCAAAGTGTGACATGTTTTCATCACTAGTGAGACTCTGGGGTATCATAGATGGATTCAAAAGTGCTAACTGAGTGCATTAGCAGACTGGGCAGCAGGAGAGAGTTGACAGCCAGAGAAGGCCAGAGAAGCTCCTGTCGAACTCCTGAGTGACATCCGTGGCAAGTTTTGGACTAGTTTATTCACCAGGTCTTGCTAAAGGCAAAGAAACTGGTAGCTTCCAAGGAAATTTCTTTAAACCGTGAAAGAAAAGAAAATCCATAAATGTAGGTGGATGCTAGTTGGGAAGAAAGGGGGTGTGTGTGTAATGGGAGTGGGAGAGGAATAAAAAAGGGATGGGCTGTAGAGAGATGAGTCAGAGGTTAAGAGCATTGACTGCTCTTCCAGAGGTCTTGAGTTCAATTCCCAACAACCACATGGTGACTCACAACTATCTGTAATGGGATCTGGTGTCCTCTTCTGACATGCAGGCAGAACATCACATTACATAATAAATGAATCTTAAAAAAAAGAAAGGGTAATAGAAGTGAACAGAACCATAATACACTATGTATGCATGGCACCGACAAATTAAAAGAAAGGTAATATCTAAAAATAAGACAGAAAATTATAGACCCTAATGAGGTTTCTAGACACTGGGAAAAAAACGTTTTCTAGAAGTGATACAATGTCAACTAGGGGAAAAACTGGTCCACGGTTCATGCAGATCAGGGGTTAGGAAATGAATGAGGTTTGGAAGGCGTTGGAGGAGTCAGGCGTAGAGAATGGGATTGGAGGTGGGAGATGGAAGGAGGTACACACACAAGAAGGAACAGGGTGGCCAGGGGTGAGGTGGCTGGATGGAGCACAGCTGGGCCAGCAGGGGAAAGAGAGGTCTGGAGAGAGGTCAGGGGCTGAAACGAAGGGGAAAGCACAGCCGATTCTTCCTCTATCCCTGGATCCTATGCTTCCCACAGACACTGGGTAAATATCATCAGATCTGAGGCTTCTTACAATGTGAATCACTGCATATGTTATCCCTTCTTGTTTTCTCAAAGCAATATGGATATCATAAAAAGAAGCCTGTGCATCCATGAGCTAGGAATCCAGTCACTACAGAGAGTACTTCAGTGAAAATCCAAGGGAGGGGCTGCGAGCTTCTAATTGCAAAGCAAATAAAAATGAGGCACTCGGGAGCTGGAGAGACGGCTCAGTGGTTAAGAGTGATGGCTGCTCTTCCAGAGGACATGGGTTTGAGTCCCAGCACCCACAGAGTAGCTAATTATCTTTTGTATCTCTAGATCCAAGGGATCTGATACCCTCTTCTGCTTTCCTGAGGCATGAGATACATACATGGCACATAGACATGCATGTAGTTAAAATATCCATACACATGAAATCAAAACAACAATGATAAAAACCACATTTAAAAAAGCCCTCACCCAAATCCAGGAACACACTGTTTATGAGGTAGAAAATTTTCAGATGAGGTATTTAGAGAAGAGACAAGCAAAGTAGACAGTGTGCCCAATCTAAGGGTTCAGAGTTATATAACTATGAAAGAGGGTTGCCTTTGGAAGGCGAAAAGATGTGTTCAATGTCCCCTGTCATGTGGTGGTCCCATCCTAACAAGTCACTAAGCAGCAATATCATATGAAACAGAATTAAAACTAAGTTGGCTATCAGAGCACAGACAAAATCCAAATGGCATCCTGTTGCTGACCACAGAGCACAAAAGGAGAAAGCTTTCACACCACTTGCTAGAAAATATAGTACTTTCAAAATAAACATCTTCCAGGGTAGCCTCAAGGTGGTCCTGCAGCTGGGGACAGCCAGCTCCTGTCTCCATGGCAGGTGAAGTGACAGTTTCTTATATAAACTGACATGCACATTCTTTTGACCACAAAGAGTTTGCATGAATGGCTTGTGGGGGTGGTATCCTTTCTGTGCCACAAAAGGTGGGCTTAGAGATGTGTTGGCTCACTTTTCTGCCATAATTTGTTAGTCTCATGGGATACCTGATTTCTCCCACCTTCCCTGGCATGGAATTGAAGTCAATTTTTCTCTCAGCCAAGTGTTAGGCCCCTCTTGCCAGCCAACAGACCACCCCACCATGCCATCTGGCTGGAAGGTGAAATATTTACAAAGGACTCAAATCATCAGTGGCTCTACCTTTCCCAATACAGAATGATAACTAAGAGACTACAATCTCCAAACATCTGACTATGTGACATGTTGTTGTCACCTATAAATGTGTTGCATTACACTTATAGTCATCCTGGGATGTGTATGGACCAGGCTGCATGTTGGATGTGTCTTCCTAGTGTCTACCTCATTATGCAAGTTGGAAAAGGACTGTGTAATCCCAAGTGACATTTAACATTGTCCCAAATCCATATGGAACCCAATGATTCATCCCACTTTCATCCCACAGGGAAAAACAACAACAAAAACAAAACCTAATTAATAAGAATTTTATCTACTAGACATAGGGCTCTGATCTTACCTGTTTCATTTGATTACATATTTTCAGTGACTGTTTACTATATAGTATATGCTCAAGGAAAATGTGCTAGCTAGATAGTTGAAGGAATGATTTATATATATGCTTTTCACATGTTTTAGGATTTTTTTTTGGTGACAGGGTCTCACTTGCTTCAGGCTAGCCTTGAACTCATTGTATACACTATTGATTGTCTTGAATTTCTAGTCATTGTACTTCTGCTTCCCAAGGGTTAGAAATTCAGGTGTGTGCCACATATCTGGACATGCTGGGGATGGAATGCAGGGCTTCAGGAACACTCTATCAACTGTGCTACAACCTAGCCTCTTTTGGGGATGCTTGTCTTTGAGTCCTGAGCTCTTTGGACACTTATATCCAGTATTCTTATGATATCAGATTTAATGGAAATACTCAGTGGCAATTCGGGAAACTGAATTCTGTGGGGAATCAGTCAGGAGGAGGGATGTGGGTGCCAGGAGGCGTTGTGATAAACAAAGTTCTCATCCCCATTCTGTTCTGTTTCCTCTCCATAAATAGCTTATACACTGTTATGTGACTGCCTGTAACCAAACTGACTCCCCTTCATCAACATGTGTGCTTAAGTCTCCCATTGCTCAGGGAGATTTGTGGCTGGCAAGCTCCTGGAACATTTGTTCTCTCTGGGAGAATGCAAAACTGCTCAAGGTCTCCCCCTTCCAGTCTGTAACTGCCCCTGCCTTGCTTTCCAGGACAACCCTGTAAGAGGATTTGGGTACTTTTCCAGCACTCTTCACATTCAGACTCAACTACTGACCAGATTTTAAAAGTTTATTGCATTTTCAGATGTCAAGAGATGACATCTTGAAAGGGACCCTGAAGAATTAATGGTGGAAAAGGTTACTGTGTTTAATCCCCCAGCAACCTTGAGAGCATTTGCTAAGTGAATAGCA